ACACGTTACACATGGGGAAAACCACGAAAGCGCCCATGCAGCCAGCCCGTTCGCGGGATTCGAACCTCGGACCGAACTACCAGTGTTCAGCGACTTTACCGCTCGGCCGCTGGTGGGCCCGAATCTTAAAAATGATTCGAGATTCTAAATTATCTTTTTTCGACAATCGTATCTTTCTGATCTCGACCTTAAACCATGTTATACATTAGCTCAAAACTTTGGAAAGAGTAATTTTATCGATTACTTATTAAAATGAAAACTTTGTAGAGCTGATTATTCAGAAAGGTGTTCATTAAAACAAAAATGGCGCAATTTTAGTTATTCGGATTTCGCTCCGTGGTTGCCCTGAGTGCCACACTCTTAGTTAATTTAGTTTTCTATGTTTATTCGTATTAATTCTGAAAATAATCTTATAAACTTAATTTTAAAAAATTATTTTAATTTATTACTTTATATTTTTATTTGGAAGTTACTTTAATTTTAAAAAATATTTTTTTTAATTTTATTTAAATTATCAAATTTGTTAACAATTTAATGTAAATTTATTTTAATTTTTTAAGTTTGAACTATTTATTACTTTAATTTTAAAAAATTCTGGAACGAATGTGAAAAAAATTTAACTATTAAGTCATATATTTTATTTAAGTTATATAGAGAACTTGATCTTAAAATTCGAGAATTTTATTTACATATTACTAAGCATCATTTGTATCTTTATCTTTTTAATAATTATCGTTTTTAAAAACTACATTTTTAAATTCGCCTTAAGTGAATATTTCAGATTTTGTTTTAATTAAAAATTTATTTTTCTTCTTTTTGTATGGAAGTTTCGAGAGATTTAAAAATGTTTTAGGATTAAGATTCAGAATCGGGGAAATTTAGAAACTGTCCTACGTCTTATGAACAATATTCAGAATAACTCCAGTTTTTTTTAGTTACATTCTGAATTTAAAAGAACCTGAGTACACTACTAGCTACTTGCAGAAAAGTTTTATTGGGCGTTTTGATGGATACACATCCGCGGGTTTCAATTCAAAAATGTTAATTAATTAATTAAAAGAAAGAAAACTTTTGTATACAGCAAATTTCATCCAAATCGGATTTAAATTTAAGTATGGGTGAAGTTTTTATTATAAAATGTGTCATTTTCCTTTACTCAAATGATACACATATAATAGGATATGTAGCTCACCTAAATGTAGATATCTAAATAAATGTCATCAAATCGGCTATAATTTGTTTCTCTTAGCGAAAGTTTTCGTTATTTTCAAGAATTCATTTATTTTAAACTAATATTTCTCTTAAAGTTAAGCCATTTTAATGTTTATATTCCATAAATAATGTAATAGTTTGTATAAATATTATGAAAATAAATATCCTTCTAGTCAAACATAATAGCTAAAAATATTCTTTTGCAAGACTCTGCCTATAAAAATCAAAATTTTCTTCCTTTGAAAAAAGGCGAAGGAGAAATAGTTTCTTTTGACATGTTGTCTTACCAGCAGGACACGTCCAAAAGATATTCGAATTTATCAAAAAGTGACAGTTTTGTTATTACTTTAGCAATCTGCTGATACACCGAATATAAGGTGTCTAAGATTTTTGCTAAGAAGAATAATGTTCTAGGCACTGGACATTTTACAAAAAGGAATGGAAATGTTGGCTAAAATATAAATGATTTCTCTGACATAATCTGACATAGGTTCGTATGCTTTGAGAAAGGTAGTATTTAGAGAAAATAAAAAAATAAAAGACCCCTAAAAAAGTATATCTGTTAATATCTTTGAGAATGAAAAGATAAAAAAAAATTAATCTGAAAGGGTTTTCATATTTTACATGACGCCCAAAGGAGAATTTTTTTTTCATTTATACACACATATACGTTTCGAAAACATTAGGGCTAAAAATATTTAAAAAGAGCACGTCTTTAGAATTTCCGATAGACAATCTAGCGTGCTAGGGATAAAAATGTTTATTCCGTGCAAAGTTGCCACTGCTTGCTTTGAAATAGTTGAGTTGTTAATCAAAAATTTGTTAAAATTTTACAAAATATGAAATAGAAAATAAAACAAATTCGAAATTCAAAATTCAAGCTTCCAGATACCCATCTTCGGCTGGAGGAATACGTTATTCAAAATCTGATGACTCTAGGTACAGTTGCCTTTTCACATACATACATACATATATTGATGCAGATTCTTCGTTATTTAACTTCTTTAAGTGTAATATAGGGCGATAATATTTGGTGGCAATAATTTGAAAAGTGAAACAACGCTTGTAGTGAATTAATGCAAAATGCCAAAACGAAATTAATATTGTTGGGCAAACTGCCCATTTGGACTAATAATTTTTATGTGTTTTTTTATTTTTTGAATTAAATATTTTTTTGTAAATTATGTGCATGTATTATTAACTCTATCCAACTAGCTCGAGGACTACTTGTGGTCCGCGTACCACATATTGAGAAACACTATTTTAAGTAAAAAGTAAAATCATCGCAGATGTTTTCTATAATATGTATCCCATTGAAACTTTGAATGTATGTATGTTTCTAAGTTTGCATAGACCAAAATATGTATTAGTATTTATGTATTTTGATGAGAAGGTACACAATTAATTAAAATTTAAAAATGTTGTTATTTTACATATAAATCATTTACTTTTCATTTATTTCATTATAATTATTACTATTATTGTGATATAATACGAGTAAATAATATTTTTTAATAATTATTATTATATAATTATAAAATTTTTTGAATCTTAAGGTTATTGATAGAAAATTAAATTTCTTCGATGCTAATAGCGTCTATTTACGGCGAACTAAGCGAAGATAATAAATATCTCGAAATTAGTTTTCTCTGAATGGTTAATTAAGTATTAATGATATAAAATTACCTATTAAATAATTCATAAGTTTTACCTGTAATGCGTTTCACATACGTTACAAAATATTTCAAAAATAAAAAATAATCACACTTCACAGGAGTTTTCAAAAATGTTTTTACGTTATTTTTTTTTCTTTCACGTTACGTGCGTACGGGGTTCGTGCGGATTTGGAGTGAATAACGACGACAGCACTTGATGGAATATCGAAACACACTTTATTTAGCCAATATTTATCAGGACAGCTCCAAATTTACGTTTTACGGTCGTCGAAGATCTACTATACACTCACTGGAACAATCAGCGACACAGCCTTCAGGTTATCAGGGTATAACTGTGGAGACAGCTTCACTGCAAAGCTCCTTACTCTGCTCGATCGTTCTCGGAACTCCACGTACTCTCGAGACTCTCCACACTACAACTCGCGATGTACTCGACGACACACAGAGCACAGCTCCCGACTCTTCGGTTCAGTCGTTCCCGGAGCTCAACACACTCTCTCGACGATGCACTAACCGCGATACACCAAGAGACTCTTTCGATGCACTCGACGACCCACTCGGCACTCGCTGCCCGGCTGTCAACTCCATCGACTCCGCACGGACGGACTAACTCGAGATTAATACCTCGCACTTACTCTCCGCATACCAACAGGGTTTATATAGTTTTTGGCTTGTTTTAAACATGGATGTTGCGTGACAATCCACGTTTACTTAAACGACCATCCACGCAGGCTGCAGAAATGTCTAAATGCTTCTTGTCTCTAAGAAAACAAATGGAAACAAAGCTTTTGGATGCTTTCTTTTTGCAAACCGAAACAAATGAGAACTTAAAAAACAAGAACAGCAGGCAGAAAGCTTTACAATATTTTGGCTTGTGTTTGCGAACATTCTGGGCTAAACCGGTAAAAATTCGATCCATAAGATTCTCCATCTGTCCATCACATATCGCCAATTTTGTCGCCAAACGGGCGGTTTCTCGCCAAATGTGGCAACCCTGCCTTTTTTTGCCATTTTATGGAAACCCTAAACCTGCTTTACCGCGCCTTGGATATTTCGTAGCAATATGCATTCAAAAACACTGGATTAGTGCAGTTTGAACATTTTTCCGTTCTCTAGAAATTCGTAATCAAAGGTACGAAACTGCGTTTCTTTACAAAATGCGCAGCTAGTTTAAGTCAAGATAGCTTGTTTTTAGTGACAGTTAGTTTATAAATTAGTTTTGAATCTTTAGTTTGCAGTAGTGTTACTAGTTAGTAGCCTCAGATATTTCGTCATTGATTTAGGCCTCTGGATGGGCTGTCGATCGTTTTATCATCAAACTCCGAAAAATCAGAATTGCTTGTCAGAGTCTGGTGATAAGACAATCAACAGCGCATCGAGAGACCTAAATCCAGGGCGAAATATCTGAGGTTTTCTTTGCTAAATGGCAAATTTATCCGTCTTAAGAGACATTTTATCAAGCCATCTGGCTCCTTCCTCCTACGGATGCAGCCGAGCTTACCGAGTCGTTCCTAAAACCCTATTAAACCAATTTAAGGCCTTAGCAAAGTATTCTTTCAGGAGACCGTAACGCCTTCCCTTCTTATTTTTACAAAGAAGAAACCGAATCATGAAAAATTCAAGTAAATTTTGGGCTTCCTACACACACTAAACACTTTCTACAGTACTATGGCCTTTTTTGTTCAACTGATCTGCATGTAAACCGCGTTAATACGTCTTGTGTATACGAAAATGAATTTTACTGTCATAAGAAATCTTATCAGACAGATTATTTATTTCCGTTAATCACTAGAGAATTTCGAACTGATCGAAAATCCAATACGTATTGCTCAATCTATGTATTCGAATTAAGTAGCATGTTTTACGTGATTTGTTTTAAACATGGATGTTGCGTGACAATCCACGTTTACTTAAACGACCATCCACGCAGGCTGCAGAAATGTCTAAATGCTTCTTGTCTCTAAGAAAACAAAGCAAAAGCTTTTGGATGCTTTCTTTTTGCAAACCGAAACAAATGAGAACTTAAAAAACAAGAACAGCAGGCAGAAAGCTTTACAATATTTTTTTTCCTTAAACGAAAGAACCATTACTTATTGCTTCAATGTTTTTCAGGTTGCATGAATGATATTCGATTGGATCAACGTTATCTTCCAATGGAGAATGGCTCCGAAAATGCAGCTGTACTTGAATGGAGAAATCTTATCAATAAGTGTCCGTCTAATAATCCCTGCCAGGGAATAATATGCCCTAAGCCATTCATTTGCCTTGATCTGTGGATGCTTCACGAATGTCGGTAAGTCATAAGATCTTATATTAAAAATTTGCTTTACATTTTTTGTCAACTTTAATTTCAACTCCTCATGTTCCACCATCTATACCACTAGGCTTCCACAAGTAAGTTAGAGCACTAACAAAATAAACGAATGTACAATACCAATATAAATGGGGAATAAATTATTTAAAAAATAAATAGATAAAATAATAAATTATTTAAAAAATAAGTGAAAAAAATAAAATAAAATAAAAAGTAATAAAATACGGAAAACGCAATAATCTAATTTGAAAATGAAATTTCAAAAAGCAGAAATTGTCTCTTTAGTTCAAATTCCTTTCGTTCAGAGATAGCTGAATTTCTCACGTAGAACAAGCATTTTGTTCTATTATATAAAAGTTACTTTCACATACTATTATTATTGTATAATGATAGTGCAGTGATTCTTAAACTAAGCGAACATATAATAAGGGAATTCGTGTACATAGATTTATTTTTATTTGAATTTAGTAACTTTTTCTTTCATTCTTATATAAAATGGAAAAGTATAGTACCTTTTTATCTACTGTCACTGCAGGAAGAAAAGAAATATTTAATGGAAATAGTTTAGTTGATAAATGGTGGTTTAGCAGAACTTAAATATTACCAGTTATCAGCCATTCATCCCGAAAATAAAAAAAAAATGTCTTATATTTTCGTAATTTTATGCTAATAAACAGAAAAACATTTTCATTCAGAAAGTTAGTGCTACTGAATAGAAATTTATACCAAAAGAAGTGCTATAGGAAATCAAATCTCTTTCTTATTGCTGAAATCCCTTCATGTAATATGCATGAATTTACAGGAGTAACAATAAGCACTTTTTAACATGCATTTTATTAATTTGTGTAGATTTGAATCAATAGTTTATAAATTAATATTATCTTAGCAGGAAAGTTTTAATTGTATATTGAGAAATAACTATTAGCTGTACGTATATAATCATTTTCAAACTCCTGCTTTAAAAAAATATACTTTAATGGGGGCATTTTTAATGGTTTTAACACAAAAATTATAGTTATGCATGAGCAGAAACACTTATAATTATTAGAACTAAAATAACCCTTATACTTGCTTGATATTTCAAGTGTAGGATACAAAAAGTGCTAAAGGAAAGGATAGTTAAATAGTTTATTACGTTTATTTTGCTTCACATAAAACATAAATAGGAATGTTTGAATAGTGTGTGAAATAAGAAAAATTAATTTCCTTTTACATTTTCTGTTACTTTCATACCAAAATCATATGATTTCTCTTTAAATATATTTAGGTTTAGCTAGCACACAAAGGCTTTTCTTTTCTGTTGTATGCGGGCCCCGAAAAGGGCCTTTTTTCATATCGTAAGAAATATTAGAAAATCTATTCATCAAAGCAGCCTATGCAAAGGCACAGTTTGCAGATTTCGCATTCCCATGTGCTTTGGATGGAATTGTTTGTTGAAGTTTTATTTCTTTGCTGCCGGCATTCTCAACACAAGTTCTTTTACATCCTTCGATTTTTCTTCGTTTATGAAAATGACTGGGAGTGGGTTCAAATGACGCTGAAGTGCGCTTTCTGTGTGAATACACATTTGCTAATTCTTGTATGAATTCCAGCTTGAAATCATACAAAGTTTTTGATCGTTTTTGTTGGAGATAATTTGTAGTAAGCTGAAATATATAGGCGTTGGTGATGGTGATGTCCAGAAGGAACCAAAACGCACACATCCACCATTTGGACAATTTTCTGGCGACTGTATAATATGTACGTCTATCATCTACTCCTCCCATGTGCGTGTTATATATTGAGAAAGAACGTGGGCAAAGGACTTCAGTTTTCTCTGTTCCTTTTCTTCTGTTTACATAACAGTGTGTTGGTGTACATAACAATGTGTTTGATGTGTTGATTGACAGCATAAAAATTTGCTTTTTGTCTACCCAAGACGTGCGCAACAAATTCGAAAGTTTTTACTCTGAAAAGTCTGACTTTCAATTTGGGATTTTCAATCATAACGTTTTAATTTCATTTGGTAAGTGCTTTCTGTTCGGCATAACAGTTCCGCAAGCATAAAAGCCGGATTCCAATCAATCAATCAACAGCTAAACGCTTGTAAAAAATCGATCAACATACAGTTCATGTCCTTTGCTTTATTAAATGTGTGACAACGCCGTACCCCAATCCTTTGCCTGACCTCACAATTTTATCTCGTTTTCCCCCATACATATCAAAATTTACAGTATAACCCAAAGAAGATGTGCATAACATCCGAAATTCAAGCCCGCTCTTATCTGGTTTTAAAAGCATATACTGTACAATTCCTAAACGCCCTTTGAATTTTATCATAGCTTCATCAATGGAAAGATTTTTATACGGCTTAAAACAATCTGAGAACAGCCCTTTCACCTGAGAAATAATAGGCTCTAACTTTTGAAAAAAAATTAAAGTTTTCATCGTTTCCTTTACCTCCTTTTCTCTATCGGAGATATGAAAATAATGTTTAATTTTTACAAATCTGTCTCTACACATTAATTTCTTTATCACTTCGTTGCCAAGTATAGGATTTTGGGACGAGTAATCATTCATTCTAGGTAAACTCATAATGCTCATTGCAAAAAAAAAAACAGTTATAAAAGCCCATATCTCATTTATGGAGAGTATAAGTTGCCAGCTTCCATCTTCAACACCACGTTTTTTTTTTGTTTCCCCCCTACAAAGTTCTGCATATTTATTTGTATTTTTTCTAATTACTTTGCAGCATTCATCGGGAATAAGTAATTTGAAATAATCTAAAGCAGATGAACCAATTGGAAAATTATGAGATGGCCCAGGTGAGGAAGAGAAAGATCCAAATTTTAAGTCTTGTTATTTATATTGTTCCTCCAGTCTGGTTCAAAGGTATCACAAATAGAGTCCAAATTTTCGTCACTTTCTAAAATAGATTGTTCTAAATTATCATCGAGTTCGATTTCATTGTCCTCATTATTTGCTTGTCCATCATCTTCATCAAATACAACTGAATCAGATTCATCTGTTTTTGAAAATAATATGGCATTTATTTCTTCTTGCGTCAATATATTACGTCTTCTGAACATTTTGCGATGAAGTTACGGAATAGAAGAAAGATGTTTTGGGACTGGGAGCGTTGACGCTAAACAAAGGAGAGCGAACGTGCATTCAAATAAGAAAGGTACTTTTTAGTTGCTTCAAAAGAATGATTTGATATGCCTTTTAAAAACTCGCGGAACCAATGAGCCATGCACTAACGTGGAGGAGGAAAGCACTAGGTGGAAAATGAACGGGCGTTACGGGCAGCATATTTCACAAGTGCACATCTGTATAGCCGCCGAGGGAGTGGCTTCTACGATGGACCAATGAGCATCCAGTAATATTTCTGTCACATGACCTTTCGCTTGCTCTAAGATTTAAGCAAAAAGGTTGAAAATATTCTGCCATGCAATTTTCTGTACAAAATAATTAAAGCATCATCGATTGCTTCTGAAACTTTTCATTGTGAAGTTAGATCAAATATAGGCAATTATGAAGATTTCACTACCTGGTTGAAATAAATGCAAACACATGTTGGATACTTCGCAAAAATATCGATGTTAAATATTACTTAATAAGTGGCAAATAAGATGAAGAAAGAAATATGTGATAAACATCTGGGCCCAAATACAATCTTTACATAAAACTATGCGTATGAGAAAAATATTTACACCAGTTATATATGTAAATAGAAGTCAGCACTATTGCAGTCTATATGAAAAAGATGTTCTATAATAATAACCAATGTAGAATTTTATTCAAAGTGAACTTTACTAATTTGCATTCGCATACATTTAGTGTGTTAAATTTCACATTTAATAAATGTACTGTCTGCACAAGAAATACTCATCAAACAGATTGAATTTATCTTATGCACAACGAATATATTCAATTTATTTACATATAATTTTTAATGTTAGCAATGGATATAATCAGATGATATGTATTTTGAATCTTACACTTTAAAAATAAAAAGAATGCAAGCACTGAAATAAGAAAACACTAAATTCATTGTAACCCTTTCAGTCATTCTCACCTCAATTAAAAAATATATACACTTGAATTCTGTTAATTCACATAATATGCCGTGAACATCAATCCCAATATTAATGCGTGATAAAAATCTCGAAAGTGAAATGTCAGCGATTAAATTAAACTCAGAAAAGGAAAGTACTACACGATTTCTACTCTTACGCCATATATTTATAACTGCGAAACAAATGCGAATTAAAATGTAAACAACATATGCTTACATGCACGAAGATTTAGAGTCACAAGAGCAATAGCAGCTCATTGATCCATTTTCGAAACCCCTCCCTCAGTGGCTACGCTGATGTGCACTTGTGAAATATGCTTACGGGCAAACTGCAATTCATATAAGAGTCAACAGTTGATTTTCCGTGTCAGGAATATTTGGCCCTGAAAAAGACTTTTCAGTTGTTTCCAAGAGTATCGGCTGATTTTTCGACGCGAAATTACTTGTTTCTGTAAAAGGCCGTTTTATTATTTCAGAAGACACGGTAATAGTTTCTGAATATATATTCACAGTATACAAGAACGCGATATAAACAGCGCTATGGACTAAAATTCCTTATACTCAAAATCCCCTTTTTTTCACTTCTTCATATCTCAAAGAAGGAAAAACATGTTATGAGCAAAAGTGAGGTTTGTGGTCTAGACGCTTGTTTTTCCTTCTTAACAATACATATTCTTTGTTACGGGCGACTTCGATGCGAAAGAGTTAATGCAATGCTGGTAATAAAATGGATAAATTTTTGCAATTTTAAATACAATATGTAAGTCTTTTGTAGATCTATCATACTTTTATAATGTAATTTTATTTCACATACCATAAGCCATTTGCCTTTTCGAATGAAATTTCGTTAAACGTTCGTATAATCAATGACACAAATGCATTATCTGAAGTTGTGCGGCTTTCTAACATTTCATCCTACTAACAATCTAACCACCCCTTCCCATTGTCCTTTTGCTTTTCAGGTGTCCCGAAGGTTTTACCATCACAGAAGATGGTAAAAATTGCACAGACGCCAACGAATGCTTGAGTGATCCATGCCTTAACGGCGGAAGCTGTGTCAACCTTCCCAATGGCGAAGGTTACTACTGCGTGTGCCCCGATGGCTTCGGGGGACTTTATTGTGGTGCTCGACACGAAGAAAAGGTCATGCGACTCAGCATGGCCGCTCTTGCTGCCATACTTATCTGCCTGCTCAATATTCTCAGTAAGTCATATGATATGTCTCTTCCTTATAGTGGCGTAAAGTCAATAGTTCTGATCTACTAAAACTATTAGAGAATTCTTGATTGCGAAGTAATACTGTAAACGATAAATTTGGGTAATAACGAGCTTAATCAAAATGGAACTATCGACTTAGCGCCACAAGTGTTCTATAATTATTACCAATATTTTTTCTTCTACTTGGAATGGAATAACAGCTGTCCCAAAGGCTTCAAGAAACACCCGTTCGACCGCAAGCAATGCATCGACGAAGACGAATGCGTCAGTAATCCCTGCGTCAACGGCAGTAAGTGCCACAACCTGGTCACGGGAAAAGGATATTTTTGCGTGTGCCCCAACAACAAGTTATGCTTCAATTGTAGCTGTGCCGAAATAAACACGGAGAAGACAGAGCAGGAGCAAGACCAACTCTCTTGTGATGAGCAATGATGCTTTAGCTATTATTGTGGCATCTGTTATCACTTTATTACGTAAGACTAGGATGTGTGTTTGCTTGCAATAATTTTTAATTCTATATAATGAAACTCAAATTTAATTCTTTCCGAATTTTAAGTATTTTATAATAATTTATGTAATGGAAATTACTGTATGCTATCTTTCTCTTTTATTTAAAGTTATTTATTATGTAATGTTATTACGTTGTTTTTTAAATATCAAGAATTTTACTCATTGTACACTGCGCAAAAAAAAACGGGACACTTCTAAATCTCCCGATTTATTGACGAAACTCAAATTTGCGTTTTCCACGTCTCAAAACCACGACTTGTGATATATATTAGATTTATATATATAGCTTTTTTTTCTAACATAGGCATTTTGACACAAAATCGGACTTTTTTTGAAATAGCATACCAATTTTGTTTTTCCATATTTTGATTCTACGACTCAAATTATGCCTAGATATTAAATTTTGCAAAATTTGGTGCGAAATTTAAAGAGAAATTCAAAAGTTTATCATGGCGTATTTTTTTAAGTTTGCGGCAAGAATAATTCACATGGCGAACTTCTTAATTTAGAGCAACCTATTTTCATTTCCTTTTTCTTCATTATCCACTAGCGGGAAAAAAGTCATGGTTCATACTTTCAAATAATTTTAACAAACTGCGTAAACCACATTTTCATTATTATCGCTTATAATAAATAGGCCGAATTTCAAAACGCGCCAAAATGTAAATTCACGTATATCTTAGGAAATTTTGAATAAAAAACTCCAATGTTTTGCAGGTATGCTTAGAAATACATCTATGTTAAGAAAATGGCAAAACTTTTATAGGTTATAATTCAGAATGTTTGTCCAAAAATTTATAAGAATTATTTAAAAATACAGGTTTTAAAAATAAATAATAAGAAATAGGCAAATTTTATTTGGAATGCACCTGGGTTTCGAAATATGAAAGGAAGAATGAAATAAGTTCAATAAAAAAGAGATATTTATAAATATATATCAAATTCAATTAACATTGAGGAGCTAAAATTTTTTAGAGTTAATGTTTTAAAAACTACTTGTGTGATTTTTTACAAAAGTTGACAGTTTGGCATGATTTGAATCGAAATATGGAAAAAAAGTGGCATGTCATTTCAGAAGAAGTCCGATTTTATGTCAAAATTATTTTATGTTATTATATATATATATATATAATATATATATTATGTTATTTTATATAGATATATAATACACATCCTGAGTCGCGCTTTCGAGACATGAAAAACGCAAGTTGAATTTCGTCAGTCGGCCCCCTAGAACGAGAGATATTGAACGGATATCTCCCGTTCTAGGGGAGATATCCGTTCAATATCTCCCGTTCTAGTTGATCAATATCGCCCGTTCTAGGGGATCAATATCTCCCGTTCTTCCCGTCCCCCCCCTTTTTTTGGCGCAGCGTACACTCTTTTACGGTACTTTCCCTATCGCCTTAAAGCGTTATGCAACCAAGACAATTAAAGCAGATAGATCTTAATAATCCAGAATAGGTCCTATTTTGCATTATATCCTATGTGAGAGACTCGTGTTGGTTGTTAAATCATTTATTTATTATCCTAATTACTTACAATCTGGTAGATATTGTTTCGAGAAGAAATGAACAAGTAGGAAATTGCATTAAGTTGTAATGACTTTTTCTTTATCTTAGAATCAAAGTAATGTTTAACTGTCATATTTACAGTAGATATTTTATTAATACTTGTAAGTATCTCTTCAAACTTTACGTTTAATCATATGTATGGAATGGTATTTTGCAGTAAATGTAATTTCAAAGCTTTGCTTTCCCAACCACTTCAGCACTACAAAAGATAAATTGCATATTTTCCATATTCAGTATTAATATATTTTAATAAAAGTAAAGAGTTAAAAAGGGGTAACATTGTTATAAAATTTTATGTGATGAGGAAATGGTGGTTTCGAAAATTCAAAATGTGTTAATGGATACATATTTTTTATTCATTAATTCAAAAGAGTCCTTTTGATTAAGAAAATTTGAGACATTGCATAAAAACATTTAGTGTATTAAAAATATATTAAAAGATGCTGTTTATAAACCTGTAATTAAATTGAAGATATAATTAATAAAACTGATATTAAATGGAATTTAATGAAATAGCAAAATAATAAAGAAGGAACTGAATTAATCTAATCAACTTCTTTGAGTCTTTGGTGAAACTTGTTTAGAGGGTTGGTATATATGGTTTCTAATACATTCTTATTGTGATTAATAATTTCAGATAATCAAGATCATGCGTTTTAGTATCCAGATTTTACAGTAGTTTACATTAGAACTGATATAACATTTGAGTTATGGATTTACCATACCAAAAGTTATACTCTTCTGAAAATTAATGCATCAAATGACAAACTTAAAACATGGCAACTGTCTTGGGCAGGATACATCAAATTTCATTCTTATTCATAATTTATCTAGTACTGGGCTTTTTTCAGTCACGAACCCTTTTTATCACTGAGATTTTTTTCGCGACTCGAGGACCCCATAATATATACGAAAATTTTTGGGACCTCTATAAGCATTGCGCAAATCCGACACACGCGTGAGTTAAACTGTCAATTTTTTCACTTGTACTGTAATATACTTTTGCAGTTTTAGGCTATTAACTTTAATTTCTAATTTTAAGACATAGAACACAATAGAAAAATTTTAAATAAGTAACAGCGAAATGAACTTTTATATTATTAAAAGAATGCGTCGAAATGTTTGAGTTTTTTCTTTGTCTGTATTGTCTTATCTTTATCTATTTTCAGATACATTATGTAAAAATATTTGGTAATTGTAAAATTATTATAATATAATAAGTTAAAGAAATATCAAAATTGCTAAACTTTTGGCGAACCCCTGCTGCATGACCCGCGACCCACAGTTTAAGAAACTCTGATCTACTATGATAGTTCCGAAAAGTAAATAAACAGCATTAATAAAAAAGTATTATTCCGTGTGAAATTATATAATCATCAGCATTCATCTACAGTATAAAAATAAACATTTAAACTGAATATCATGAAATTTTGAAAATATAATAAAGTAGTTTGATTATTTAAGAGGAATAAAATCGATTCACCGCAACTGGGTGCACGAAGATAGCACAAATTATCCACCTTTATGTCTTTGGATAAAACTGTATCTACAACTACAATTTTTTGTTTCCTCCATTATTCACATTTATTCTTCTTTATGTTCCCCATAGTTAAACATAAAACACATCGTTTTTGAAACAAGTGCTCATTAAATTCAGTCAAGACTGCATCTGGCATATCGGATAAAGCAGTAAATCATATTAAAACCTCTATTATACGACATGTATCGAGAGAATGAGAAGCTTTACAAGTCACCTTCTCTGCCTGCGATGTGGGAGTTTCTGAAACAAGATGTTGTGTAACAAATCCATTGAAGTCGACAAGGTCCGAACCAGAACTCCCTCAACACTGCATTAACTTTGCATACGGAATTCAAGTCGGTCGTTTAGACTATTGATTCACGGCCCTCATTACTCTTTGGTGGACCCATTTCTCCGAACTTTAGATATTGAATAGGATTAATGTTTCAGAGGGGAAAGTAAATGTGATGGAAAGCTACATTAGTTAAGGGTTCTAATGGCTTTGCTTGGCCATTGGAACAACAGGATGTCTGGCTATTATACTCACAATGTTGTAATGAAACATATGGATTATGTTAAGCTAGTTTTCTCAGAAACCATTTTGCATTCTGGTTTTGCATCGCAAACTATAAAAGAACACTCTTTAAAATGGCATAAAGAGACTCTAGGCAAATTTTTGAAGCTTGAAAGGATGCCACTTTCACAAAAGCTGGAGAATTTACATTCTCCAGAAAATTATTTAAAACCTTGTCTTATTATTTTTATCAGCTCTAAATAATTTAACTCGAGAAGCTATATTATAAGATGTATGCGTTAGATAAAAAGGATTATTACAAACCATTTACGAATACTTCAGCCTTGCGGGGAGAGTGCTAGTCATAATTTTCCTAATTTTGGTGTAAGTTAAATGTGCATCATGATCCGATGCATTGTAATAATTTTCATTAGTGGAACATAGATTACAATAACTGTTTCATTAAAATATCATGATTTCTTTTAATCTTTTACTTGTATTGTTAAGAATTATCAATACAACTTCAAAAACTTGTTTTATTTTATTTCGTTGTTATGCAAAATAGAAAAGCATTCAAAATAGAAAAGAAACATTCCAAATTAGCAAAGAGTATAGTGCAAATATTTCATTCTAACACCCTCCCACGAAACTAATGAAATGTGTATTTTGAATGTGAATGTGCCGCCCAGACGGTACAGGTGTTAGGGAAGCATGACTGTGATATCGAAGGGCCTGGGTTCGAATTCCGGAGAAGGCATGTTGGAACTGTCCGTCCCTTCATAGGAGGCGATGTTGGCCCACCTATTAGGTGCCTCCATAATAAAGAGATCACTACACCTGACCTTGTATAGATTAGTGGACTATGTTACACTCTAACTGTTCACAATCTGGCATTGGAAAAAAATTATGAATGTAGAATCATTTTTAAAATTCTTCGTATTGATAAATATTTTTTTAATATCATGTTCTTACAAAGTATGAAAACTATCTCTTTCCGTATTCTCTGCTTTATTCTATGTTTTATGTTTAGCATGTTACGCTTTATAAGAAATGGGAACACTTATTTATAACCTTTTAGAGCCATTAGGTATATTTTTAGAAGCAGGAGAATTAAAAAATTAGCAAACGCCTTCGCCGGGAATCGAACCACGGACCTCTGGAATACCGGCCCAGCGTGCAGAACCACTACACCACGAAGGTACGCTAGGAAAGTGGAAGAAATACCTTATAGTCTCTTAATTTAAATTTCTTGCTAATTACATAGCCTAAGGGCGCGTAGTTAAAATGGAGGATTATTATCTAACTGCATACGGACACAATAATATGAACAGTCAAACTAGTGTTTATTTGCTTCCACTTGTAGCTTACAGACTGAACAGAATGTATCATAACTGAACAGAAACTTAATTAAAACTTGCTGCATATCATAATTTAACTTCATACACTACATTAAATAAACTGCATTCAGGTGAAGTGCCTGTAATTCAGATCTAATCAACTGTAAATTTAGAAATTTATAGTGGATTAAGCACAAGTTCTAAAGTTTCTATCGGGCTAACTTCAGCAACAAAGTACAGGACGGAGGTGTTCTAGGAGACTTCACAATTACAACGCTCAACCAATGTATTCCAAATGGCCGGAGTTCAATTTCTTTGTTGGGAATGATCAAAACCCTTCGGTTATTTAGCTATCCCATCACAGAGAACATTTCCCAAGAAGCACGGACAAAGGTGGCTGAATAAGTGAAAAAGGAGATCTGCCCCAATTTTGAAGGAAAATACAGAGGGGAACAGAAGGAAAATGCACCAGCGTCTCAGAGTCTCCTGCCCCTCTTCCTCTGCCGCTTTCGGTTCGTTCAACAATATTGTAAATGCCCTCTTGCGACAAAGACACTCACTATACACTTACAAAGTTCCTTGCCTTCTCCAAGTTCGAGCTCAGGTCTAAGGCTATGGTGGCCGGCTTCCCTACCGTCATGATGAGAGGACGCCTCGATCAATCAATATAAATAACGCATGCCTATTTATATTTGTTCTTCGTGCCAGTCAGATTACATATTCCTGAACTTTGCGCAAATAAATCAGAAACTGAAATTAGCTCGCTAAGAGGTCACATAATAGTCATAGGTGCATATTTCATTTAAATCCAATAACTCTGCTTTCAGCGTAGTTTCATCTTAACTATATCACGCCATTTTTTTCCAAATCCATATTCCTCCTACCTAAATCCGGCATATTTTTTGCCTATTTCCGCAATTAATACGAATGATTTTTTCTTTAAATACAAATAAGCATAGGTGAGGCCGATTGATTGCTATGAATTTCGGCATACACACATACTTACGATTTTCCAGATAGTTAGGAAGCTATTGTAAATAGAAACTATCTAGGCGAATGAAAATTCTATAAGCAAATAATGCAGTAAGTCTGGAAATTAATATAGTTAATCTAGCACTAACCGTTTTCTAGTTGTTATGTAATACACACTAAAAGAACTGAGTTCTGAGTTGTATTTTTCTACACGTGTAAAATATTAGAATCGTTCTAAGACAATTACAGTTTTTGTTATTCACTTTTGGATACATTTCTTGATCAAACTGACTGTTAACTGTGTTCTTTATATATATATATATATTTCTTTATATGAAATGGCCTTTATATACATAACTAATTAAAGTAAAAAGAACAAACGATAATAGACCTATGTGGTCAAAAACTTTGCACATTGAGCTGCAAAATTTAGAAAAAAGTTAAAAGAAAATTCCTAGTTCGTACGCTAAAAAGTTGCTTAGATACTGTGGTTCCGTGAAAATATTAACATAAGTAAAATAAGGTGCAATGAAATGTGTAATAAAGATAAAATAAACAATACAAACACTTGAATATTTACAAATAAAATTCAATATTAATTGTAAGCAATATGCTAATCAAAGTAAGGCAAATTTTAAACATTAGAATTAAAGTGCGACAAATGATTTAAGCAAAAATATAAAAACAAAGAAGCGGTAAATGGTATCGAATCTCATTAGAGCTCTCTCTATATATAAAGACACTTAATAAGAGGTAAAAATTAAAAACAAATTTTTTATACCCATCCTGCGTTATAGCTGCAGGATTGAAGTAAAATAAACTTAAAGCATTTAAAATAAAAGAAAATAAAAATTTGAGATTCACTTTTTCGGTTTTGTATGAATTTTAATGTAATCAAAATTTGTTTCTTTTTTCCGTTTTTGATCTCAAATAAACCAGGAGAACGAAACACGTTTTCGAAGCACATTAATCAACTTTTATGAAGCTTTAATTCATTTTCCCCTGATAAGCTCTGAAATGGAGTTTAAGTAAAAGGAAACTAATTTCTATTTTTTGTCTTGTATAATTTTTACCCCTTTGCATTTTTAGTTTTCGAATTTGTACTATTTTAATTCTTTTTTTAAATTTGAATTCTTTAGGTGTTGTGTTAAACCTCTTTTACAAGGATGCAATTATTAATATTGTAGAGGATTTGCCTTGATTTGACACCAATTTACTTTTTATATATATTGCAGTATCACATTTTTTATTTAAAACAGTATCCCAAGTTATTACTTTTTGTCTCTCTCTAAATATATAATATTCACACTGTGAATAAAAATTATGAATAAAAAGAAATAATAATCCCATTCACTTTCTTGATGTTCCGATGACAGATAAACTGAAATACGATACTAATATATGTATACCTTAAATTTGTCCAATGTAATTTTAAATTTCCCCATCGAGAGATGCCATTATTTATTGCACTTACCGATAAAATCTGATACGTACTTACTTATTATTCTTCTGCTTATGTGTAATTCAACAAGATCAGTGACTGTAACTAAAATTAATATTCCATTCCAGTTTTAGTACTGGTGATCGCAGCATACACGAGGAACCGAAGGCCCAATCAGAAGTACGGTCACGGAGACGTGGATGATGATGTCCGGGAGAACATTATAAGTTATGATGATGAAGGCGGAGGAGAAGACGACATGAATGCTTATGACATCACACCCTTGCGCATACCTATAGATGCGACAGGAACGCCAATCGGTGCTAAACCAGGTCCGGAGAAACCACCCATAAAGGAACCCCGTCAACGACAAAGTAAGGATACAGTTTGATCAGATTTGCCTCATTCCTAATGTTCATTTTATTGCGTATATAAACGCTTATGGCAAAGGCTTCGTTAAGCAGAAAGCCTTTGAGTTGAGACACATTTGTCAAATGAACACAGTGATTATAGTGATAACAACACAGTGATGATAGTTTTTTTTCTTATATGTTTTCTAAATATGTTTCTTTCGGGTTAAAATCAGACTTTAATGCCCTTTAGTTACGCTAATTACAATTAATTGTCTTGCGATAGCAGTCTTTCTGAGAAACTTTATCAGCCAAATGGGTTTCACGCTCTTCTTATACATTAAAGAAATTTTGTACGCTATTTATATTTTCTTTCATTTCCTCCAGCAAATTTTCTTACAGTAACGAGGCTTGGAGTTTGTTGTATTCGCTTTTCTGGAGTTTCACTATTTTTTTTCCCCAAAAAATGCTTTAAAAGGAAGAATAATTAATTTAAAAGTGGGTTTTAAAAATTATTTAAGTGGAAATAAATATTATGTATTGAAAGCAAATACATTAATTAAGAGTTTATAGCTTAATCAATGAACTATCCTCTTTGGCCGGTTTCGTGACACAATCTTGACATATACAGTCGTGTTTTAACAGAATGATGAAATAAAAACTACCTAGAAGAAGCAACAGGGAGTAGTGACTAATAAGTAGGAATAAAAACACGCTTGAAATATTTGTCACTTTATAAGGTATTTCTCCCACTTTCTTGGCATGCGTTCGTGATGTGGTAGTCTGCACGCTGGGCGCGTATTCCAGAGGTCCGTGGTTCGATTCCCGGCGAAGACGTTGCTCATTTTTCATCTTTTCTACTTCCAAAATACTTAATGTGTCTACAACTTAAACATTTTTTAAACAAACCTTTTAATTACAAATATTTTAATTACAGCCATATATCTTCATAAGACTTAACCAAATGATGTCACTTTATTCTTCACACGTGTTCGTTCTAAACTGCATGCATACTTCTAGGTTCTTTATTTTAAGGGAACACAAATTACAAAAAAAAAAAAAAAAAAAAAAAAAAAAAAAAAAAAAAAAAAAAAAAAAAACAAACAACTGGAAATATGACCCCAATTCTGTACTTCTAGTAGCATACAGTATGTTCAGGTAGCATGTTCTTTCAAGCTGTATAGGTGCCGATTATAATAATTAATAATGACTTGATATGCATATTATAATTGCATTTTACAATATTATTTGTTGCTATAACAAATTTAGAATATAGTTGCATATTATAATTAACATGATTTATCAAGTTTTTATAATATGCTTTTAGAAATCTTTAAATGTTGTTTCCGTACTGCGTGATGAATTGGAATCAATAAATCAATGGAATTCCTAAACATTTCAAAGCGACTTCCAGCCGGTACCTTCAGATCACATTCAGTGGGCATCTAATTTCTAATTGCTCCAAGAATACGAAGCTCTAAGTGAAGAAAGCCTCGAAAAGGAGGCCAAGCTAGTCTTCTTTCTATGGAATGCCAGAACTGTACACAATATCAAACATATGTCAAATTTCAAGGTTAAAAATTATGCCATATAATACATTAAGAATAAATAATGAATGAATATATGAAAAGGAGCGTTTAGATTTTCAAGTCACAGTAAACAGAAAATTATTAGCTATCAGTTACGATTATGAAATGTTTAGAATATTTTACTCAATTCTTAGAAATAAAATACGCTGTTTGAAGGCTCAAAAGAGACCATTTTCATATTATGTTTACCATGAGCTGGCCTTTGTGGCATTTATGATTTCACCTTTAAGTAAATCTGTTCGGATAGCAGTTATTACATGCCTGGTGAACCGGCAAAGCTGACAAAATGTCCTGTGAACCAAAATAATATTAAGTCAAAAAATATTTTAAAAATAAATTGCGAAATATAAACAGTTAATCGATAGTTATTATACAGGGTGTTTCTAAATGAATATCGGGGGTTTAACGCTTTTTAGTATTCGTTGCGTAAAATTTAAAAGCATAATTAATACATGGAATGAAAGAGCAACTCAAACAGTTTTGTTTGCTGGTGCGCCAGAAAGCACGTAGGCCCTTCTGCGAAAAATTGGCTGGTATATATGCTAAATTAGATGACAGCCTCAAAGACTTTGTGAACCCATTTTTACGAAACAGGGCTGACGACAGATTGCCAGCGTTTCATAAATTTAAATATACTAGCAGAGAGCGACCTGTGGTGGCTAGATCTAACTCCCTGCGCTCCCCAGCCAGTGCAGGATTTAAGTATAAGCTACATAAATTATAGCTTAGGGCCCCCAATTTCTTGGGGGTCCCCCAAAAATTAAATTATAGTATTAAAATATAGTATAAAAGACTTATAAAGGGCCCCATATCTCAAAAAGCTTAGGGCCTCATCAAGTCTAAATCCGGTCCTGTCCCTAGCAGTTAGATAGCAGTAGAATAGTTTATTTACCCTTATTGTATGTTAACAGGGGGTGTTTCTATATGAACCGGGATTTTAACGCTTTGCAGTATTTATTACGTAAAACTTAAAATTAATATATGAAATGAAAGATCAACTCAAACAGTTCTGTTTGTTGGTACGGGCATGCACCAGAAAGTGCTAGTAGCAAAAATGGCGACTAGCGAACAGAAAAGTGGAAAGTGCGTTCCGGATTAAATTCAATGTGATCTCCAAAGTGATAATAACATCCGTAGATGGTATCATCAGTTTGAAAATACCGGCTGCCTTTGCAAAGGGAAGAGTACGGGACGACCAAGGGTTAGTGAAGAGAATGTCGAGCGAGTGAGAGATTGATGTGATTTCTACCTGTGAGGGTTCATAACGGATCGTGTGTATCTGCCTGCTACCCGACCTAAGAAACAGGATTGAGGCAGCTGTTGCAACAGTTACACCACAAACATTAATCAACCTTTGGGAAGAACTGGGCTATCGACTTGATGTGTGCCGCGTGACGAAATGTGCTCATATTGAACACTTGTAGGCTTGTACGTATAACTGTTTGAGTTGCTTTTTCATTTCATGTATTAATTATAATTTTAAGTTTTACATAATAAATACTACAAAGCGTTAAAACACCGATATTCATTTAGGAACGCCCTGTATAGCTGCGGACAATTTTAAATCGTTGATCATCGGCTATAATTATTCAAAAGCTACCCTTTTTATTTAATTTTATTTATTTATTTAATTTTTATTTATTTGTTATAATAAAAGGTAGCAGAGCATCTACCAACAATCGCAATCTGGTTTGTGATCCTGAAATACGTTATTCCCTTTGTGATATTTGATGAAAAGTCATTTGTTGCAGAGGTGATGGTTGTTTTCTCTGATTATTGCATTTATTAAAATACCGGAAGCTAAGATTTGGTTTTTACCATAACTTCTAATGAAATATAATGACAATTCTCGATCCGTCATTCAGATGTATTCAATAACTGCTTATTAAGTCTAAAGGGAAAAAAATAAAGGAATACATTAAATATGTAATGTAAATAATGTAGCTATGAGAATCATATAAAAGTTCACATTAAAGAAGCATGTTCAAGAACAATTGCAAGAATGTTAAGAAACTGTTGGTATGTCTTCCCAACTGGAAGCTTTTAAGTAATCTCTTTACCCTCGAGTCTGTCTTCTTAAGACCAGTTGATAGGCAGAAAAGAATTTTTATATGTTCTGGTTTGTAATAGTAAATTTAAATAATTGAATTTTATACTATTGTTGAGGAACATTCCGACTGAATGATTTCTATTGGAGACTACACATTGCTTTTCGGAAATACAAATTCATCTTACAATATATTTGAAATATTGATAGAAAAAGTCAGGAATATTGTTTGACTTCTTATGAAAGCAGTATGATTGCTTCTTTGAGCAAGCTTACTGCCTTCTTAAGAGCAAAAAACCTACACTTTATAGATATATCACGATATGAAGAACTACCTTTTCGTATTTGTGTACTAACCGCTACACGGCCAGCCTTCGTCTGGCTTTTAAATGTACCGTAAAAATGCTTAAAGGGAACACCAAACATTAAATTTGAAGCCTGCACAGAATTTTACTCTGCAGAATAACTTTATCAAAAAAATTCAATAAAAATATATCATATATTAAAAAAATTACAATGAAATAATCAATATCCCTTAATACGAATATTAATTATTCTAATGAATAAATTAACCAACTTCCCGTTTCAAAATCTTAAGAATTCAAATGGTATAAAGGAAGTTTCCTAAATAAAATCATGCAAAACTTTTCATATGATTAAAATTATATATAATTAAAACTTAATATAAAAATTACAATGAAAGAAGCAATAAATCTCATATTTTCAAGATTCAAGATTCAAGAATAAGAAGTCTAGTATCCAAAACAATGAATGAAAAACTGTTGCCAAAACCACGTTTCTAAAAGAATGAAACTATCATCAGACAGCAATAACCAATCAAACTTGTGCTTTGTGGATGACATAATTCAAAATATACAAACCTCTTTGCCATTAGCTAATAAAGAGAGCGAAAGGGAAAAAAAGGAAATTCTTTCTGTTGTACCTCGGGAGACACATGCGCGTCAGAATAAGAAGATTGCAATGTGCGTGCTGCGTGTCCAAAAATCTAAATAAAACAAGCAGTATTTTATGTCATATTTTCAACAGTCAGAAGTCCAGTATACAAAGCATTGAATGAAAAACTGTTGCCAAAGCCACATTTTTAAAGGAATGAATCTATTCAAAATGATGGCGATTTCATCAAAAAGATAAAATTTAAAAAAAAGGATTCGAATTTCGAAAAATTCGCGTCGAAATGCACTGGATCTTGTCTAGATGCACCTATGTACCAAATTTCGTAGCCCTAGGTCTATTAACTTACGCGCAGCACGAACGAAAGACACACAGACAGACTCTTTCTTTTATTATATGTGGAGATTATGTGATATTAAAGAAATGCATCCTCTAATGTACAGCGATGAAAGTAAATGTAGTATTAGTATTAAAATTCAATCTCAGTTTTTAAATTCTAAGCATAACACATTTCATTCGATCCGTTTTAAAGAAGTTTTCCTGAGCATTAGGAAAAACGTATCTCTGGTTCTCATCTTCTTACATGAAGGATCAAGTTGATTTCCTTTTTCTTTTTCCTTTCTCTTTCTCTTTTTTTTTTTTTTTTTTTCTGATATTTTGAGCATTATAAATATTTGAATCTCTGAAGAAACTTTTCTATCTGTAATTCATTTTTTCATTAAAGTATATAAAAACTAATGTGGACAGTGTTTGTTCTAAGGTGAATCCTCTTTTGTGTGAGAGAATAACTATTGCGTATTAACTTGAAAATCTTAAAAAGTTGTCTTCAGCCGTTAACTATTGATTCAATAACTAACGCACGCAGTTTCTAATCTATGTCTATCGATGTTCACTTAAAAGAAATAAAATGTATCGCATTTCATTTTTAATATGTTCTGAAGAGGAGCGGTTACTTTAAAGATCGATTAACCGATTGATAAGAACAAGAATTCTAGCAAGTCACGTATGAAGAACACCTTTCCTTATTGGCATTCTATTTGACATGTAAATATGCTTTAGATTGGCATTTCAGAATTTGTATGATGCATTGTATAAATAACCTCTTAATATTTTCCAAGATGCGGAATCATTCTTTAATATTTTGATCATTATATACGTATAGGTATACGTATATATTTGATCATTATATACGTAGTAGATCAAATGCGTAGAGGTATCTGATCATTATGTACGTATATTTTGTGTTAATTCTGTTTTGTATATTTACTTCTAGTACCACCTGGAAATCACCCTGATGGTGTGGGAGATTTCATTCGTGACCATTTAGATAAGGCTGACAACGATCCGAATGCACCACCTTTTGACGACCTGCGGAACTACGCTTACGAAGGCTGCGGTAGTACCGCTGGTTCGCTTAGTTCATTGGCATCTGGCACGGAGGATAACGAACAGGATTTCGACTACCTCAACGGCTGGGGACCTCGTTTCCAGAAACTCGCGGATATGTACGGACCTGGAGAAAGCGAAGAAGATTAAAGTATACAATCTAGTCACATAGGGATACGAGGAAGTTTACCATAAAACTAAAAGAGCAGCAAGCAAAGAAAAGTTCTCAAAGTTTTTCTTCCGACATCACAACAGCATTGACTTGCGCGCGCACACACTTCAAATTCTTTAGTCTGTATGATAAAAAATAACCCACCCAAAAAGAAAATATTTCAAGAAATGGTTAAAGAAACTTTGTATACTGCACGGCATTCAGTTTAACGTCTCCTGGATGGAAAAAAAAAAACATGCGAAAGCTGTTCGATTCGCTTCCAAACTAGTGGCTGATGAGGCTCAACGATTAGTTCCCACATCAGTCGCCAGGGAGAAAAATCTCATTTAAAAAAATCACCAAAATTTTGCATTAAGCTACTGATGTTTTCTATTGGTACATTTGTGCTGTTTAAATATAGAAGTATAGAGTATTCTTTTTCTGTGTGTGTGTGCATGTTAGAAGTCGTAGACACCAAGAAACTATGCGAAAAAATACTACCTAAAAGAATTAAGTATCATCATACCACAACAACAAGTGAATGCCATTTTCAGACACTTGCTTTGTCAGCAATCTGTGTGTTTAACGTGAAATTTATGTTCCAGTCTGCACCTCTTTCTATTTAAAAAAATCATATTACTCTCAGCGAACAATTGTGAGTTTTCCAGTTAGAAAACAATGCGAAACAATCGTGAGTTATTGTCTTTTTTTACTTTTATTATATTTCATTTTTTGTACCACCACCCCAGCTCACATCAAAGACACTTCTATAAAGTGCTCTTGAACTCGCCTGCTTAAGGTGAGTGGGGGAAATCCCTCTATCCCTGCGTGGTACACAATTTGTATGTTTTGACCTGGAATCTCGTTGATCTCCTGTTTTGTGAATATTTACATTTCAGTAGTTTTTGTCAAAGACGGGACTACAATATGCCAGTAAAAGCTGAGTATTGTGTATAATATGTATATTCTGTATTGTCCCTTTAAATGTCTGTATTTCTTCAATTTGAACAGTTAACTTTTTTCATTATAATTATCATTGCTGAGGAGATTTAAATATATTATTTCAAATTGGTCTTTCCTTTATGTTTTGCTATTGAATTTATGATTTAAGTTAACAGCTCTTCCCCTTCAATATAGAAGAATCAAAATGGGTGAGTGGCCTTACATTGCCAGCTGTGAAAATATCTAAACCCAAAAATTTGGAAACTTTTAACAATAAGTTAAGCAATTAGTCTAAATAACCTTTGTAAGAATATTTTAAAGGGGAATATCGTTGTAAGCTGCAGGAATAAGAGCTCAAAACTTGAAATAAATGGGGAAAAATGGAAAGAATAAATTTTTATCCTACCCTTAGATATTGCATTTTTTATTATGCAGTGTGGCTGTTGAAATCTGCAGTCTATTTTATATATTTAAAATACCATAATTATCAGGAAAAGTTCAAAATAACTTCCCTTAAGATAACCTTGTACTTAGTATTGGTATAACGGCACGTTTGTAAATTAAGTTGACTGTTTGTACATCATTAGTCAAAGTGCATTTGTACGTGATTTCGAGTTATTTATGTGCCCTGTGTATCAGAAAAGCAGATATTTAGGAAACGAAAACTTTTTACATACAGCTGCAATCATGTTACAGGGGGTTAATTTTTTAAAAGTGTAGAGTAACCGTAGTTGATAACCGCTTTTTCGGCACGTATCATGTAAAGAAAGTATGAAGTCCTCCCTCTGTTGAAAGTGCAGTTTTCGCAATGTAGCTGACCAGAATGATGCACATTTTTATTAATTAGCTTATATTTGCACAACTTACCTCTTTTCCAATCACTGTAGTTTTGCCTTTTTTTTAACCTATAAGTTAATGCTAAAATACATGCTTGAATATCATCGCTATGATATTTAGTTCGGACGCAAATTTTTACACGGTTCTGAGGAAAAAACTTACTTTAGATGGCAATTTTTGCCACGTTTAAGCTTAAATTAGCGAAAAATCATTTTAATGTTATGAATTACGGAGCAAGCCCTTTTTTTTTTTTTTCCGCTGATTCATTCTCTCAGACGAGGATTCAGAACATTCTTGATGCATTGTGAGTGTATTTCTCATTGGGCAATGAAATATATTCTTTCAAAAGTTTGCCTTTCCCACTTAATAATAGAAATAACCTAAAACTGTAGTGGAAACTAAGGGAACAATATATTTTGCAATATATATCTTTAATTGTCATTTTATAACGTTTAAATATGTATTTCAAGCTTTTTAAAATGTGACTTCCGTTCAGCTTTACTGATTCTACCACTAAAGACGCCAATTTGATGAGAGAAAAACAATCATTTTTTAACATCCTTAAATTTTATGTTTCCTATTCATTATCAGTCAATTCATGAATAAATTCATCACTAAAGTCTAAATTAAATGAATCACTCGAATGGAATGATTGCATCGTTTTATAAAATAAGTATAACTCTTTATAAAATGAATGCATCACTCGAAAGCATCACATGTGTCAACGCACTGGCTCTCATGCATTTTTTTTATGAGAAAGAGCTACATTTTATCCCATATGTTATAGAAAAATATCAATTGATGGTAATTGCCATGGAAAATTTACCATGCTATTAAATGAAATCTCATTAAAGTCTATAAAATGTTTCTCAATGAGAGTTTAATCTAACATGTTGTTAAATCAAATCTTTAAACTCCATTCAGAGTACCCTCAAAGATTTTGAAAGATAGCTTCAAAACGCATCAAAATTTGACTCTTTGGGAGATATTACCTCAAATTTTTAAAAATAAACTGAATACAGCAGAAGTAATTAGCTTTGAAATAAGCAAAATAAAAATGACTACAGATACCATGATATATGGTAAAAAGCTTGACTACTTTTTACTGGAACGGGACTTACTTTACTACTTTTTAAACGGGAAATGTGCATGTAAAAGCATGCTTTTACATGTAACTTTCCCGTTTATATAAGTACATTTATATAAGTAATCTGGAGAAGAAATGTGTTTTTTATGGGTCTTTTTGTTTTTTACCGTGTTTACCGCACTCTGTGTCTTTTTGTTTTTTACCGTTTTTTTAAGTATTTTTGTTTTTTACCGTGTGTTAAAGTTTTAGTGAATTTAACAGAAAAAATGAAATCATTTAAAATATTTTAGATAACCTAAAGAAATGTAAGTTGCAAATGGTGTAAGAAACTCAACGGTTGAATATTCTTCTTTCAGCTCAAGATGCAGGTATTCAGGAACTACTAAGCGAAATTAGATTGTTATTCCACTATTTAACCCCATTTTGATATTTTTTACGCATAAGATCAAAAGGTTTGATCGATGTAGGGTTTTAAGAAATTGCTAATTTGTTATTCATGGCAATATTATCAACCAACTGTTCATGATTTAATAAAGAATCCATTTCACTATTCTTTAAAAATTTGTAAAAATTCTTAAACTACGAAAATACCTGACATTCTGCTCTCGCGCCATTTTTGACAGAGAGCCACTGCGTTTAACCTTTTCCCTTGAACATCCTGAAATGTATCGCTTCAAGATGTTACTCAGGTTCATGCCGCCATATTATTCTTGGTTTGATGTCCAACAGCTTTTAAAAAAGAGATTATTATTTTTTACAAGTTATTTTGATCCTGTAAACATTTTATGTATTTTGAGTAATAGATTTGAATTTTATGAGATTAGAAGATATGTTTTGTTGCTAAAATGTTTATACATTATTCATTTTGTACATTCCATTTTAAGTGTTTGCAAATGTGAAAGAATTGTAAGCAATAGTTTGCATTATCTCCATCATAACTTGATTTTGTGCCAACGTTTTCATTTTTGTGTTTATTTAATTATTCATAATTATAAGATATTATTAAAACAAATTCTGGTCGTCTTATAAAACATGTGTATTTCTAGTGAAAATGGTTAATAAAAACGAAGATATCGGAATATTTTGCTTCTTGAGTTTTTATGTTTCATATTCCCTACACAAACAGAAAGAAATCTTTAAAGTATGTATTAAATCGAATCGAATGCTATCGAAATTTTAAAAAAAAATCAAAGAGGCTGAATAGAATATTTTATTTTTTATGAGAAAAATTGCTAATTTCAAACACGTATGAAGAAAGAGGGCCTTCTTTAATTGCAAAACTTCTACAGAAATCAGCGTTATCAAAGCAACATAGTTATTATTAAGGAAATCTGTAATTGGAATAGGACTTATTACATATTATGTAATAAGAGTATATATAAAGTCTATATATATATATAAAGATATATGTAAAGTCTCAAAATGACTTTGAGAGACAGCCCTTCCCCGAGAATCTTTGGAAGAAATGTTTTAAGAAACAGAGAGAGAGGCATCCATTATCACGAAACAGGCTCCCTTGTGTCTGGTTCCCTCACCTTGCGCAAGATACCAGATGTTATCAACTGTATATCAAGGTTTAAGAAATGTAGCTCGAATGCCCGAAGGAAGATGCAAAGAAAGAAAATTTTAAGGGACATGTTTTATAAGAACTTGTCCCTTAAAAGGAGGAAGTCCAAATGATATAAAATATTTGGAAGTCAAACACTTCAGGAATAAATATAATATTAAATTCCTAGTCCTTCTGCATTTGTGTTTTTCAGCCTCTCCAAAACTGTCAGAATACTTTCTTTAAAGAAAGATAAATCTAAATCACAATATATTTATATCTATAATGATTAACCTCTCGTTTTGCTATCCTCAGGTATTTCTCAGCAAGATCAAAGTCTGAAATGACTGTGTTAGATTTATATATATGCGTGTATGTATAATATACATATATAGATAGATATAGATATAGATATAATTGTTTCACAAGAAAATAGTAAAGTTAAATTACATTTGAATAATTCTCTTGCGCCATTGCTGCAAGGAATGAAATTTGAATTTAACAAATATTCTCCATTCGTATAAAGCAAGTATAAAATTCTCATTTCGTAAAAAACAAAGTAAATGTGAAATTAAAATTTAATTAATTAAATTTTAATTGCAAAGAAAAAAATCATTATTATTGCTGCTAACTAATTTACAATGTCATTTAAATTCTAAGAGCATATGTAAATTAACTGCACTTATCTAAAACCATGAAAAAATATATTATTCCAAAAAATTAAATTTATTATTCCTAAAAATTGCATAAGGGAATAATTGTTGAGCAGGTAGGAGACAGACTTAGCAAGGGGAAGTTGCCCGCATATATTTGCCCATATATTTACCCAATTCGTGTTTCGTCATCCATATAGGCAAGAGTAAAATTAAAATTCAAAACCAAAAGTAAAATCAAATGTTGTGAATTACAAAAAAAGAAAATGAAAATTAATTAAACAGTGGAATTTTGAGAAAATATCAATGACTAGATATAAAATTAATTAATTAAAAGTCAATTAAGAGTAGAAAACCAAAGTAATGTAGAAACTCTTGCCCACAGGAAACTTCCCCTACACGAATTATGCATGTAAACCTAAAATAAACTATATACAACAATTAAAATATAAAAATAAAAATAATAAAAATAAAAAGGCGAGTAAATAACAAGTTTTAATTTAACTTACCTAGTTACATATTTGAATTTCAGAACTGTACCAGCATTTGCTTAATACGTTGAGTTGAGAAGTTGTACTGCTAACTGTAAAAAAATAGAGGTCTCTAATGCAGTGTAAAGTTGAGTGTAAAGCTGCTACCTGTGAGAGCTATTGTAAAAACCATGTTGTAAATTCCAAAGTCTAAAAAGTAAAATACTTGTTAGTGTGCAAAAATGTTGCCATCTAAGAGTCATTGTAAAAAGTGTAAAGTAAAAAAAATGTACTGCTACTGTATGTGAAAATAGATGTTGCAAACAACTAAACAGTAAAATATTTTGAAAAAAAATGTTTTTGGTAAATAAAATTTCGAAACAATAATGTAATTGAATTCGAATAATTTTTTAATTTAATTTAATTCAATTTAATTAATTGATTGATTAAATTTTAATTGAATTAGAATGGAAAAGAAAATTACGAATTGAAATAGAGAATTATTGTAAGAAATTTTTTGTACTAGACTGCATTATTTAAAACTGGAGTTATAAGTGCGATCAAAATTGAAACTAAATACTGTTCAAAGGTAAGGAAATTAGAAAATTAGACAAACATCTTCACTCAATTCGGGCTATAATTGAGACTTTTGAAAAGAATTGGCCCTTCATTAGAATCCAGTATTGAAAATATACATTTTTACTAAAATATTTACAAATAATCCCTTAACTCTTCAAAATCCTCCATCACCCTCCAGTAAAGGTTTAAGGCAATATTATCATACCAAGAGTTAAAAAATTGAAAAGTTAATGCCTGCCTTTTTAATATAGAATTTAATAAAATTTTTCGGACCTGGTTATTAACTTGAACATTATTTAGTTTTATTATTTCTTCCTTTAAATCTTCTATTTCAGTACATATATTTTTAATTCTAATTATTTGACTATAAAAAGATCTAATACTTTTTAGAGATATTAGAGTTCCAATTATTAGAGAGTTTAATAGTTTCAAACTTGAATGTCCTCCTTTTATCATATGATTTAATTTTGTTGTGTTTAATTATGAGCAGGTCTAGGTATTCAATATTATCTTGATTCGAATTAGTTCTATTAAGTGTTAAACTATCTGGGTGAATTTTAAATTGTTCAAAAGCAGAATTATTATTGAAAAGTTATAATATCATCAATGTATCTGAAAGTATTTTCAAATAACTTTAATTCATTCTTATTCAAACTAAGTTGGAATTTATATTCATTAGCAAAAAGAAATAGGTTGCATATTTGTGTAGAACTGTTCGCTCCCATTGGAATTCCTTTCCCCACGCTGAAAAATCTTATTATTGAATTTAATGTAATTATTAAATAATGCACATTGCAGGTAAGTTTTCCATCTTTCAATTCAGGGGATGCTTAGCATGTCAGGAAAACGTTGTTGAAGTTGTACTAAACTAGCATAAATTTAATTCAATGGTAGAGAAGTATAAAGGTTTTTCAAGTCATAGCAGTTAATGTTCTTGATTTCTAAACTTTTAAATTTGTTGAGAACTGAAGCGCTATTATAATAATCCAACAATAGTTGTGCTGCTGTTAACTAGTTGATTAATAAATACAGATTTTTTAAAGTTTATTGCAAATATGTATCTATTTTCTTTTATAATTATTTGTACTATTTGCTATAAACCTAAATTTGAGTGGTGATTTATGGAATTTTGGAAGAGCATAAAGATTTGCTATTCTATTGTAGTTAGTCGGTTGTGTAATTAGTAGTTTCTTATGAATTGCTTTAAGCTTTTTTGCTATGGCGTTTTCTTGCGTATTGGTACGTTTGTAAGTAATTCAGTTCAGTATCAATTAGTGACACATACAAAAAAAAATTCAATTAATGCTGAAATTATTACTGGCCTTTTTCAATTTTGGTGATTACGAATTTTTGCTTCAAATCTTGTATTAGAGGATTGAGAAAATTCCATCGTAAATTGCTGTTGATTTCTATCCTTTGAATTCTTTGCTTCATTTCTTCTAACACTTCATGCTTACAAGCCATAAAGGCAGAATATGGAATATTTAATTTGTAAGTCGTTTTAACTATGAACTCATCAAGTTTTTTCACTAAACTTCTAAAACGTTAATTTTTGCCAATTTTTAGTACAGGTCGAAATTTTCTGCCTTTTTTCATTAAATTTCTTAAAAGCTAATTTTTAACTATTGTTAAATTGCCAGTAACAATATGTTTATGAAATTCGTCTACCAAATCACTTCAATATAAAGACTACGCAGTATCAATGAGCCGTAGAAGCTAGATCATGGTGGTTAATTAGCAATTTGCTAAGAGGTTTTTGATTCTTGAAAGCTGGTGAGATTTGTGCTTTAGTAGCTGGAAATTGTTGTTGACATTTTCTGAAAATTTTGTAGAACTAAATAATGTCATAGTTCGGATGTAGGAAGGTGATTTTGCAGTAATATTTATTGTACTTGTTAATGGTAGAGAATTTAAAATTGCAAAAATCTATAATAAGGTCTTTGATAATGTTGGGTCCCGTAAATTACTGTTAAACAAAATTTACAAGTTTCATTAAGAATTTGTGTTTACAAGTATGCAACCAAGTAATGATATTTTTGGTGAAATTTTCAGTTAGAAAGTAATTATTAATATTATCGTTTAACTTTGCTGTAGCTATTGTAGAAAAGAATTTTTTTTTTAATTATTACCTGCTCTTGTCCCTCGTAATGTTTTTTACTGAATAATTTAAAATGGCTGTAAGATGGAATTTCAGAATTTAATTTAATGTATTGATTGAATGTATTTAGTCCATATGGGTAAAGTGTTTTAAATTTAAGCACGTAGAGTGACTCTTGAAATAATCTATCTTTGTATTCAGGCACAATGTCCAAAATTTGAATACTAATTTTGCTGAAATCACGTATTTGAAAATGTTCTAATTCTGCTGTATTAGGCGTGTTAAAACTGGTAGTAGCGAATTTTTTAATATGTGCTCTGTGGTTGTTCATTTTAATATTAAGAATATTTTTCGTTTGTCTTACATATTTAATGTTGTAAGTTATACATGAGATAAGATATATGCAATTAAATGTTTTTCAAAAGGGGAGTTGTTTTACTGCTGTGATATTAAAAGGCATAGTGCTAGCTTTACAAGTAAGTCATTCGCTACAATGACATTTATGGAAATTTATGTGATTGAGACGAGCCATTTTAAAAGTAAAGAGGAAGCTAACCTACAATACAATGAATTTTTAAAGTAAAAATTCTTAATTTTTGGACATGGAAATTTTAAAAAACTGGGAATCTAAATGCAGTTTGCTCAAAATAATTGTTCTAAAAGTTGCTCAAAATATCTGTATTGAAAATTATGAAATAAATCTTAAACACTTATTTCCTCGAATAAATTCCAGAA